AAACCATCTAGGAAAGCTCCATGGGCCACTTCTGATTGGTTAACAATGGCTGGTACTTGTGGAGCACAGCACTTCTGATTGGTGTGGATGACTGACACACAAGAAGAAAAAAATTTAAAAAAATTGCAGGCTTTGCGATTTGATAATTGCATCATTTCAAATCGCGATTTCGATTTAAAATCGATTAATCGTTCAGACCTATTGTGTACGCCAAGTAAAATACTGTTAGATTGTACGCAGAATTAATTAAATTGAATCTTAAATATTACATTTGTTATAGTTCTACTTTGTTAAGGACATTTTCTGTGAAATTATGTCAGAAAAAAAAGTCCATCCTGTAATTGTATATAGAGCCAGAAAGAGCGTACATTACTTTCACTTTCTCAAGGCATGGATCACGAGTAAAGTGGATTTTCGACATTAATAAATTCCTCTGACATTTGCTGGAGATGTACTTTTGTACTTAATTAGAGAAGATTTAGGGATTTTCTTGAATGAAAACATCCATTTACACATAAATAAGTATTGAATTGAAACTTTTGGCCTCCATATATGTTGTATATATAGGCTTTCCTTTAGATACAGTTTCTGTTTGTATTAAAATAAGCATTAACTGAATATGGAATCAAACTTCATGGGACATATTTGTCTCTAGTTTTAATTTAAAAATAAAACTTCCTGCCAGGATATTATAATGTCAAAAAATAAAAACATCAAATTTTAGAAGATTTAGGAAACAATTGTTTTACGTAGAAATGCCTGTGAATAAAGTGGGTTTCTTAGATTAGTTTCCTGAGAAAAATGTAGCCCTCGCTTAGAGTGTGAATGGGACTAAATGAAGTGTAACTGTACAAGCACTTTGTTAAAGAATGCCTCAGAAGTAACTTGAGCTGATGAATAATGGCTTAAACGGTAATGTAATAGAGTTGCATTCACCGAGTGCTGACTGTGAAGTGCAGTGCTGTGGGAAGGGATTCCACAGCGGCCCCCCCACCCAGTCCCCGTCCCTCCCCAGAGATATAATTCCCGTTAATCCTGGCGGGGCACCATCTGGGAGATTCGGGTAATAGCAGATAGTGGCGCAGCAGATGTCAGGAGGACAGTTTAGGTCACAAATATGCATTAAAAACCACGTAACATGCACTGAAGTATATAAAGACCAGACTGTCAAAGGTTTTCTTGTTAGTAAGTAAACAAAGCTTTTCCTGGCAGAGTTCCTGCACATTAAACAGCTGTAACAATGGTGGAGACGCTCTCATGTAACCTAGGAGGTGATGGATGGGGCGTGTTGGGTTGGAGGACAATGGGGGGGGGGGGGGGGGGGGGGGTCATGTGACGGTTTGCAGGAAGTCCCTGAGGGAGCAGGACGAGCACCTGCTGCTAAGTGATGCTGTGTTCATGTCATGTGGAACTTTCAGGAAAAACTACTTTCCGACCCATGGAAATTATATTAGTGCTTTTCTGATTAAGTACATCAACATCAATATTGCGACAATATTGTAAGCTGGACCTTTAAAGCATTCATTAAAAAAATGTTGATAAATGCCTAGCAATGTGGATAAAATGACAGTTTGAAGTGGGTAAAGACAAATAATCACAATTTAAGAATTAAACACTACTAAAGCAGCCTATAAAACCAGGAAATGACCAAGCAATCTCTAGTCTTATAATAATATGTCCCTATTTTCATTCCTATTGAAGTTGTTCTGTGCTGCATTAACCCAGAATGGCTTGACTTTGAAGTACAAAAATACCCGGATCTTCTTTAGATCGTCCAGCATTCTTCCACATCATTGGAACGTTTTCCTTACACCCCGCCTCCAAGTTTTAAACCCCGCCTGCCATTCTTAAAACCTGTCTTAAGCTCCACCGCCCAGTTTTTAACTCCGCCTCCTAGCAACTTTTAGGATTATTTTAAATAATGGCTACTGAAGTGTTCTCAGAATCAGAATTGGTTTGATTACCAAGTAGGTTAACACATCAGAAGAATTTGCTTTGGTATATTCTCACTGGGAATCAAACCAACAAGAAAAAACAAAGCTAGTAAAACATGGAGTTGGAAACTAAATGTATAAGGCGTAACATTTGTATCCAGTCGGATATTTGAACTGGAAGGCCTCTAAAGTCAGATTTCACTAAACTTGACCTCAAAATCCAAGATGGCTGCTCCTTGCATTAACAGTGTGAAAGCTTTAGTAATATAATATACTGTTTATTAACAATTCCCTAATGGTCGTTCTATCCAACTTGTATCTGTATATTTATATTGTTTTCCTTATAACATTGTGTAATTTGGGTTTTCTGCCTTTTCCTAAGCGCTTTTTATCAATGTGTTATCTTTATTGCTTTCTGCACACTGCTGGATAATATAAATGATGTTGACAATAACATATTTCTGTACTTTCGCTTTCATTCTTTAGAGTTAACCTTCTGATGGTTACTCCCATCCTGTGAAACTTTCATAAACGCATCATGTGTTGACCCCCTGCAGAGGTCAGAGGTTACGCAGGACGCGGGCCATGTGACGGGTGATAAAAGGCGACCTCCTGCCGGCCCCGGGGCCCTTTTCTCTGTCTCCATCGAGCAGCGAGGCGACAGAGAGGCGACTGCATCCGTCACACGGACAGAGAGAGATGGAGGTCAAAAGACTCGTCTCTTAGAGATCCAGACTGAGGCTAAACCTTTTACTCTCAGAGATAAAAGATAATACACTGGTGTTGTTGGAATCTACATTTGAAGCAGTAGCTGTCCTCAACTATCCCATGATGCAACATTTATGTATTCACTGCAGACGATCATTTTTGTCAAATGTATTATTAATTCAACCTCAATAAATATCACATTTTCTAAAACAAGAAGAAGAAGAATTGATTTGGAATATTAAATCTTCCATCTTTTTCCACTACATCTTAGCCGTTCTTGTGCATCCTTGATGGTTAAAAAGTATTGCATACAATTTAGTTGCTCAAACCATTTGTAATATGGCATTATTGTGTAACCGTTATTTGCTCTCCATGTAAAAATAAAGTCAGAAAAGTTAGGAAAAGCAACCTTTTAGTGTTTTTTACAGGTGCAACAACAAGTAAGGGACCCAATTCAATCAGCGAGCAATTAGCGAGCAACATTTATACAACACATCTTCCTTGAAGTATCAATGGTGTTTCCACAATTTAAAGCTCATGAACACATCAAAAGGAGACCATCCGAGGAGCAGTTGAATGCATCGTTGTTCGTAACCTCTTATTTAGCATTAGCCAATGAAAAGCAATTACCAATAAAAACAGGAAGTCCCTGCAGCTTCACAAGCCGCAACCTCCAAAGATAACGTTCAAAATATACAACTGTGAATGCATCAGCCAACAGTCCAAGTCACTCTCGAGTCACCACTCTTCGAGTCCAAGTCCGAGTCACCAAGGGAGAGTCGTAGTCGAGTCCGAGTCCAAGTCCGAGTCACCCAAGGAGTGTCCGAGTCGAGTCCGAGTCCGAGTCATCATTACCTGTGTTCGAGTCCGAGTCCAAGTCCGAGTCACCTAAGAAGAGTCCAAGTCAAGTCCGAGTCACAAGTCTTCATGTATTAATCTTCGTGGATATATGTGTTGAAATGTAGCTGCTCCTCCACATTGCTTTTATCCTGTCATGTTAAGCTGGCTATACACCAACCCGATTTTGGGAGTCAGAGGCCGTCAGAGGCAGTCGGGCATTCGCGGCGCCCTACTCAGGTTGGTGTGTCCCGCACCGTCGTCTCTTTACGGCACCTTTTCACACCTCCCGCGGCCGATTCAACATGTTGAATCGGCCGCGGGAGGTCAGAGAAAGTCGGCCCAAGCAATCACTCTGATTGGCTGTTCACACTACCGCTGCCTGCTGGTAAGGACAGTTATTGCCACTCGTCGACTGAAGTATTTGCGGTGTGTTCGTAGGCGGGCGGCGTAGCCGACGCAGGCGACGTAGCTGACGTAAAAGTCGGGACGCCTTCGGTACGCGTTCTTTGGTCTCAGGTGGGTGTGTAGCGGCCTTTATACTAATGTGTCTATTGAACTGCTGTGAAGCGAGTTTGGCTACAATTCTTGAAATAGGTGCTATACAAATATAAAGCTTATTACTAATATGAATATTATTATTATTATTATTATTATTGTAAATGACCTTTAACATGTCTAACTATATTAATTAGTTATCTTTTAGAGAAGTGATTACATTTGTATGCCAATATTTTCCTATGGTAAAGTTTTCGTTTTGATTAGATTAAGCCCCAGAAAGCACATGGCTACTTAGCATGCGAAATGGGCATTCTGCATGTTAAGTAGCCATGTGCTTTCGTGTTATCGGCTGAATCTTTATTTATTGATTAGATCACGTTACTCTGATGATAGTGTTCAAGACGGCCTATATGTCTGAACTCGATCCTTAGAGTAATGTGTTACGGAGCCTTCTCTTCAATCTTTTTTCCACATAACGAGCATTTTGCGCTGCTCTTTTCCAATGTGGAAGCAGAATGTGTGAAAGCATACAGCACGGGGTGTGTCTCTAGACATCTCTAGACTGGAATAGCGGGGCCCAGTACGTGAACTCGCCTCACAGGTGCACACGCCAGGATAGAGGACATCAAACTCCAGAGAAAAAATTGAGTCGGAGTGTCAATGTACAAGTCGAGTCCGAGTCATCGTGGGGGGAAATATTCACGAGTCCGAGTCCAAGTCATCGTACGCGAGAATTCACGAGTCCGAGTCCAAGTAATCGTGCGCGAGAATTCACGAGTCCGAGTCCGAGTCAAAGTCATCGTGCGCGAGAATTCACGAGTCCAAGTCCGAGACGCATCAATCAGTGCGCGAGTCCGAGTCGAGTCATTTACAGCCATTTTTCAAAAATAAAAGCATGGTGTAGCTTACAAACAACTTTTCAGAATAAAAAAATGATTTAATTTACAACCATCTTTTCAGAATAAAAACACGTTGTAACTTACAGCAATTTTTTCAAAATAAAATCATAGTGTTACTTACTGTTCCTGTTGGCTTTGAGCTTGGACAGCAGCTTCTGGGTGGACAGCAGGTCTCCGCTCTTCGCCGCCTGCAGCAGGTCCTGCTCCTTCCCCATCCTCCTCCTCCTCCTCCTCCTCCTCGACCTCCTCCTTTAACCAGCTTTATTTAAAATACTCCTCAGAGCCTCATGCTGCGTGTCGGACGCATGAAGACCTGCCTCAGGTGAGACTCTCCACACTCAAATTCATATAAATCCTCTGGAGTCTGCCCAGGCGGAGACACTGATCCTAATTTCCTGCGCAGACTTCTTTGCACTCTTTTTTTCTTGTATTGGGGGGAAGATGTTATTTCCAGGATGTAAGAGGAGAAGGTGATGTGGTTCAGTCCTGAGAAGAAATGAGAAAACCAGATCAGAGAAGTATAAAACTGAAAAACCCTCAGGAGCTCCTGAAGGTGTTTTACTACGACCACAAATTCTCTAATGAGGTCAAGTTAAAGAGTTAAACAGATGAACAGGATTTAGGTTGAGTAGCATTGTATAAACCCAAAATCCATCAGAGCTGATCCTGTTTAATCCCTTATTAAATCTAATCAGGTTTACTCGCAGATTTTGTAGGCAACTTAAAGTTACTACAAGGAGTTTTTAAATGCAGTCTCAGTTTGAAACAGATTCCTCAGAGTGGCGCTGGGTTGATGTATTTCTGTATTCCCTGGTTTCCTACACAAAAACACAAGGGGATTTTTCCATTGGATTTTGGATAATTCAATCAATCAATCAATCAATGTTTATTTATATAACCCAATATCACAAATGTTACATTTGTCTCAGTGGACTGTACAATTTGTACAGAATATAATTGAGAAAACAAAATGCCTTGGCAAACAAAGGTCAATGATAAACATATTTTGTTCAGCAAGATAATCTCCACATGTATACAACCCTTTATCATTGTTCAAATGTAAAAGGAAATTAAATAAGTAAAAAGCTAAAATTAGGCTATAAACGAACTACAACGCTAAGCTAACAGCGGCTAATGTTCGGCATGATGTCGTTTAGTAGTCTCATTTAGTCACTTTTTAGCAACCCCCATTTTTAAGACACATTGAAGCCAGGGTTTTCAACACATAGTCTTAACTTGGGCGGGCCACCCAGGTATATTAACGGCCGCCAAAGTATATTTCGCGACCCATTTAGGTTTGTTTTTTTATCCGTCCTCTGCGATCGATTAACTAGTGGACAATGATCCCTCGCTCTACGCCTCCTGTACCTGTTCGCTCTGCTATCGCGTGAAGGGTCTGCTAACAAGCGACCAACAGAAAGGTTAATGTTGTTGCACGTCACAAAGCCAGTGAAAAAAGTTGTAAATGATTAAAGAAGAAGTCTGTTTCTCTGGAGGAAGAGGTGTTTAAACCCTGCACACAATGGTTTTACACCAAGCTCCATAGAATAATTTCACATGTTTAAACCATGGGTTAAAACACTGAACACAAAGGGGTTTTACACCAAACTCCACTGAATTGTTCAACATTTGAGAACCAGCGATGTTAAACCCTGCAAACAATGGTGTTATACCAAACTCCATGAAGTGGATTTTAAATATCTAAACCAGAGGAGTTGAACACCAAACTCCATTTATGAATCTACATTTTAACCCCAGAGGAGAATGGGTGAAACCACCTGACGTTGAGTCCCTGTGTGGCTGACTTGTCCTGCTCTGCTGCTTCCCTCGGGGCTCTGTGATACAATATATGCGTCCACTTCATTTCAGCGGCAGGACAGCTACTTAAACTCTTCCAGCCCAGTGCCCAGGCACAACTCAGATATGAGAGGAAGGAGTTGGCAGAGTTAAGTCAGAGCTGCGTCTGTGCTCCAGTTTCTTTCAGATAACCGTCATCACAGTTGACAGTCTTGATCTCTGCATGAGAACATGATCACTGCTGCAGCACCGGGCCTCAAAAAAACAGTGTTGCTATATAAACAGAAAGAGGCTTTGCAGGCGGATCACAGGGCACTGCACTGTTTTCCTGGTTACAACTCATTTCATTACATAACCAGCAGCCACAGAGGAGCACAGGGCGTAAGCAGAGCTGTCATTCCCATTTACACCCATCACGCACCCCCCGCCCCCCTCCTCTTTCCTCCACCTCCCTCAGGCATTTTGTATTGTCACTGCATTCATGACAAGATGAACAATACTCGTAAATTTCTCTTTGACACTGCAGGGACTCCAAGTCTCAGAGACGTGTTCCAAAGTGGAAGTGAATAAATCAGTGTATTGCTCTGAAACAAGAAACACTTGACAGATATTTAGAGTAGTGAATAATGAAATGTGTTACCATGATGAATAGTTTTTCATGAAGCTGTTTGGCTGTCTTTACATAGTATAATTGCCAACCCCCAAAAGATGTTTGCATAGTGCAATAAAGCCGTATTCAGCTTCAAGGTGTGTCATGTTCTTTGATGCTTAGATATTGTCAAGCCAGACTCCATTAGAAAAGTTAGAAATTCCACTTTCCTGTAATATCAATCACAATAAACATAAACACAACATGTATTTAGATGTTTTGCGTGAAATAATAGTAGTCAGTTGGCAATTCGGGAATATTTGAATCGCTAAAAGGCACTGCAAAACCCTTAACATTGAAAGTCTTGTATTCATGTATGCACAAAAGGGGTTGGCAACCCATGTAATCCAATTGTGACCTTACATTTTACTGACTTGAAGTGCCATATACTGATATCATAGTACACCAAATTAAATATGTATATCTCAAAATACATACAAAAGTGTCAGTGTTAATCAAGTTACATTTTAATAAGCTTCCATAAGTGCCATTTTCTTTGATTCATCGATATTTCAAGACAGACTCCGTTAAAAAAGTTACTTATTCTAAATTCCCGTTCTCATCTACCAGATTAAACACAAACATAACATGTATTTTGACGTTTTGCATTATTGAGCTGTTGTCTGTTGCCAATTCAACAGTACGTGAAGCACTTAAAAAGCACTGATTAACCTTTCACACTGGAAGTCTTGTATTCATTCACCCACAAAGGTGACTAAAGCCAATTCATCCAGTTTTTACCGTACATTTTAAGTGCCATTTAGTGATATCATAGAACGCAGAATTGAAGATTTGCAACTGAAGATATAGAAAAGTCTCAGTGTTTATCAAGTTACATTTTAATAAGCTTCGAAATGTGCCATTTTCTTTGATGCAAGCACATTTTCAAGCCAGACTCCGTTAAAAAAAGAAACTTATTCTACATTCCCATCCTCATCAACCACTTAAAACACAAATAAAACATGTATTTGGAGGATTTGCATAATTAAGCTGTAGTCTGTTGCCAATTCGGGTATATTTAAAACACTCAAAAGCACGGATAAACCTCTCAAAACTGGAAATCTTCAACTTAAATACGCACAACGGGGGCGTAGGTTGGCAAGCTCTATAAACCAATATTCACCTTATATTTCACAGAAACTAAGTGCTCCTTGGTGATGTCAAAGTACGCCGAATTGAACATATATTTCGTAAATGATATTCAAATCTTTATTGGGTTGATATGGAGTTGTCTTTTAAATAAACGGCTCCAGTTTAGAGAGATGAGAAGGGAGTTCGGTGTGAAGCTTTTCCCGCACCGGAGGAACCCGCATTTCGCGGCAGGAGTCTGGCATGTAAACAGACCGTGGGAGAGCACCTCCACCAACACCGACCTTTGCACCGAAGTTAGTTAAAGCACTTGTAACCACACTTTTCTTAAATGCGAAACCTTAATAAGAAAAACCAATCATATATGAAACTTACCTCTTTTAGTCAGTTATTTTTAAAACTTTTCAACCCATGAAATGTAGCGGACCACGGTGGCAGATTGTAGGAAAACTCCGGAGATCTGGCAGAGTATTCCTTGTGTTGATATTCCAGAAAAGTGGGGTTTTATATCCCAGGAGTGTTAACTTCCAAGCGTGTTAGATAGTGGTTAAATCCCCAAACAGAGTTAACCAAGACATATATCATAATTGTACGGACTTTAGTAGCCTACTTTGTACGTCACATCGCCCGGTGACGCTCTTCCAGGTTTTCCCTCCTCGCCGTGAATGCCACATTCTCTCCGCTGCTGCGTTCAGGACGAGGCGTGTGAAGGGACAAACAGCAACACGCACAACATCCGGATCAGCCTTTCTAAATAAAACCTGACAAAGAAATGTCTTTCTACAAAATGTAATTCTGCTACTTGTCACCATAGACTTTATATATAAAGCTTGTCGTCACTTACTTATAATGTAGTATGGAAGCCCATTTCCACTAGTTAAAGAAAACAATGAGATGGAAACTTAACCTCTGAATAAAACTGTAATGTTAAGTCATTTTTAATGAAACAACTTTTTATGTCTTTCTGAAAATAATAAGTTAGTATCTAAAAAAAAACAACTTAATATCTTAAAATAATGACATAATGTGTAGTAGGCCTACTAGTGAATGGAACTTTTTATTAATGTAATTGAATCCTAACAGACACCTTTTTGCCGTCCTTTTTTTTCTCTAAGATGATTGAATAATTCACCAACAGAAATGTATTAGAAGCAATTTATACATTTCGAAAATCTACATTTAAATATCTAATGTCAATTTTTCAATCCAAAATGACCAAGTTTCAGCTAGCTCATATATGGATTTACTGTCATTATTTATAGCGTAATTAATATGTTTGGGTTTTAAACTGTAACTTTGAAGAAACAAACAACTTCAATACTTTACATTAGTTATAATTAGTCACTTTTTTCTGATGTTTTACTGAGAAAAATACTTCTTATTTCATCAAAAAGTTTAACCGGAAATATATTTATTTCAGTTGCAGCCCGAATGTTCTGTTTTTCAGCTGGTTAACCTGTACCCACATTTATTTCACAAGTTTTACTTTCCAGCAACTAAAATGTAATCTGTGTAAACATGAAACAAAACACACACACACACATGTTCTTAGAGCAATAAAAGACAGAAAGAAGAAACATTAAAAGTCGTGCTTTTATTTTGAAATATGAGTTAGTTATTATCTGTTTATTTCTGGCTCTTGTTGTGTAGCTTAATGAAATATGACCCTCCCACCCAATTGTATCTCTCCTTTTCCAGAGAGGGTGCCTTTTTATATTCAGCAGTTGTTGGGGAATTCATTTATAACATTTGCTAATGTTCCTCTTCAGAACAATTATATATTTGTTTTCATTATTTTACTATTGAACTTTTACAGAGTTCATGAGTTAATAAAATGAAGCGAAAAAGGGACAATTCTCACATAGTTCATATCAAAAATATAAGTTAGCATTAGCTAAGTTCTCCATATTAGTTTGTGTATATGAGTAAATAATCACCAGAATGCTCAACTTATTAAAATTGAAAAGTGAAACAATAACTTGTAAATATATTTTTATTAAAAAAAAAATTGAATCTGAAATCAGTGTTATATACAATTTATGAGCGATTAAATAAAACAATTTAAACAAAGTTAATTATTGTACAAGCGTGTTGGTAATGCATGTTGCAGATATTAGGAAAGTGTTTTTATATTGTAAAACGCAGGATAAATATATCATAAGGACAGTTTTGTAGAAATGGACACGTCCCAAATTTGGATCCGATGTACATTTTCGAGCTTATATTCCCCCGCAATTGCTTTAAAAATTAACAAAATAAACTGCATTAATGAAGCTACTTAATGCTTATATTCAGTCAAATTTCAACGTAAAATAATCAGACGTAAGGTGCCTTTTTAAAAGGTTTATGATTACAAAAAAATGTACATTAAAACTGGACATTTTATTGGCACTTTCCAAGTTTAAGACTAGATTTAGACTAGCATTAGATAAGGCATCGTTTGAATATTTAAAGCTAACATTTCAGAAAACGTGCACAAGATAATTGCCCTTATGTGAGAAATCAACCAGGGAAGTTTCATTCTGATATCTATTAGTATAAATGTTTGCCCTGTCAGTTGCCCCCCTCCCTCTGGTACAACCTGAGGACCCCCCGATGGTGCAGCTCCTCCCAGAGCCGGCTCTCCATCTGCAGGTCGTGGTTGGAGAAGAATTCAAGAGGCTGCCAGGTGGAGTCGTAGTAATGATCGGAGAACGACGCGTAGCTCCTGGTGATGAAGCCGTACGCAGAAACCTGCAGACAGGCATCATGCTATAATGACAGATGTGTGTGTTTTTGTCTGTGTGTCTGTGTGTGTGTGTGTGTGTGTGTGTGTGTGTGTGTGTGTGTGTGTGTGTGTGTGTGTGTGTGTGTGTGTGTGTGTGTGTGTGTGTGTGTGTGTGTGTGTGTGTGTGTGTGTGTGCGTGTGTGTGTGTGTTGTACCTGGTCACAGGTGTGCAGTGCTGTCAGCAGCATCAGAGCTCCGGTGCTCGGCATGTAGAGGTGACGAGTCCTGATGTCTTTCAGCAGAGGAGACCGCAGGAAACTGAAAATGATTAAAAAAAAACGACTTATAATAATATAAAATTTATAACAAATATTAAGACATTTAACAAAAGTGTGTAAATAAAAGAAAAAAAGAATAAAAATAAAAATGTATAAAAAACAAACAATAAAAAATAAAATAAGGAATAATTTAAAAATAAAAACCTGAGATACTGACATTAATTTATTTTCTAATTACAGCTGCGCTTCACCTGCGAGTCACGTAGGAAATAAAACCTGGGTGGAGAATCTTGAAGTTTTCTGCTGGTTTGTGACCAAAATACTTCCAGGGCCTGTTGGAGACACAACACATACATTATGACAAACAACAATAACAACAACAACAACAATACTGGTGGATTGTAACTAAATACATTTACTCAAGTACTTTACTTCAATTTGAGGCACTTTTAATTAAGAAGAGTATTTATTTTGATCTCAGAAGAAAATATTGTACTCTTTTTTTATACACAAAATAGTAAATGGTAAAAGGACTGCATTTATAAGATTAACATATACAACTCGTCATTCATACAGAGGGGAGGCTACTGTACAAGGTGCCACCTGCTCAGGGAGACTAACTCATTGATGTCTAAAGTTAAAAAGAAAAAAGTTCAGCTTAAATAATAACTCCATGAATGAATCAGTGAATTGACAGTACTGTAAATCATTGTTTTCAATTAATAACAATCAACTTGTTCCTCATATACTAATGCCTTCAAAAATGTAAACTTTGTTGTCTATTATCCCGTTTTTACTGAAATATAAAAAAAAGACATTCCAGACTTTTTTCGGGAAAATATATAAAAAATGAATATATAACTTTATTCTTGAAATAGCATTATAATAAAACAAAATTACTTTATTCTCAAAATATAACTTTAAAAAAAATGTATAACATAATTAATCCTAAAAAATATATAAAAATAAATGTATTCTTAAAATGTACATTAATATTGTCACAATGCGCTTTCAGTAATTTTACTAAATAAATTCCTGTGATATAAAAATCTGCAAGATGTTTAAAGGCTCTTCCGCCATCTGCAGGCCAAACATGGTGTTACAGCGCAGATAGAAAAACTGCAAAAATGTTTACATTTTTCAAAACCATGCTCATTAGATCAACAAAAATCCACTTCAGATTTAAGCCCTAATTGTAGGCCTTACTGCAGAATTATTTACTTACTATAATAACTTCTACCAACAATTGAAGGGCCCCTATTATACTCTCTATTTGAACAATGTATTATAGGTCTCAGATATATACAAACATGTCTCTGAGGTGTTTGGCTATAAATACCAAACAGATCATGCATTGCAGCATCCCATAATCCCCTCTGTTTCAGCCCTGTTTCAAAAGTGCTGATTCTGTGTCTGTAGCTTTAAATGCTAATGAGCTGCTGCTGGCCACGCCCCCCTGAGAACTGTTTGGTTTAAAAACAAACGATGGTGCTCTAAAGCTCCTTACACACCAAACTGACACCAAATAACTCCAAAGAACACCAAAGAACACGTCCCGACGGAACGTCGGCTCACGTCGCCTCACGTCTCCTGCGTCTTGGCCAACAGTCGCACTGGAACACACCGCAAAGACTTCAGCCGACGGCCAAGTAGCACGTACGAACTACGCATGCATGAGTGGCAATAACTCTCCTTACCAGCAGGCGGCGGTAGTGTGTATTCGTCATTCAAAAGAGGCAACAACCGGAAGACAGATTCCGTGATACACCGAGAGAAGAAGAACAGACTGCGTGATATAAACAAACAACAAATAGCGTGTGCGTTCCATTTTCACTCTACAACGAGAAGCTCATGTGGCTTTCCCGAACCTGTGTCGAGAGCTGGAGTTAAATGAAATCTCAGATTTGCCTTCTTAATAGTTTGTTTGGGTCCCTCACTTCGGTTTCGCTTCTCATGCACTGATTCGCTAAGCTGAACAGCCAATCAGAGTGATTTATTTGGCCGACGGCCTTCGGCCGACAGCCAGGGTTCGGAGGGTTACTTTGTAAATGTAATCAGTTACTGATTACTGAATACATGGCTCTGAAAGTAATCCAAATACAGTTACAGTTACGTGTCTTAAAAAAGTAACGTATTAAGATTACTTTTAGATTACTTTTGGATTACTTTCTTTTTCCATCACAGATGGGTATGTTTTGGTGAACAGGAGACACAAAAAGCAAAAGGAAACTGAACGTGTTTTTACTGTTTTAATGGCTTATCAAGAGCACGACTGAAACATAACATCTGAAACGATGTAACAACATAATACACTTTTTGGGGATGCAGCTTGGGATGTGAGGAGTGAGGGACACGGCTTAGAACGGGCGTGTCGCCTTCTGTCCTGCCAGTGTTGGCAGGACATGAATTAAAATGTTGAACTCGAACTTCATTTTAAGAACATTTCGGCCAGGGGTGTAGAGCTATATTTGTTTAAGCACCGGATTGGCAAAACAGGAGAGTGTGTGTATACCAGTCTGCCTTGATCTATGAATTCATGTCCGTGACACTCACAGTAGGCTATCTGCTGCCCACAGCTGTTGTATAGAAGGAAAACCTCCTTCACTTCATGAAATCTCTGCAGCACCAGGAGGCAGCGGGAGGGTGAACTCAGCCTCAGGAGCGTGCAGTGCCTTTCACACACCGCCTTTCACTGTGTTTACCTTCAGAATCATTAGAAAGGCTAAAGAGCGACCGCAGGCTGATGTGTTTTAACCACACACACACACACCCACACACACACACACACACACACACACACACACACACACACACACACACACACACACACACCACACACACACACACACACACACACACACACACACACACACACACACACACACACACACACACACACACACTTTTGTTCCCCCATGTTTCGTTGTTATTGTTTCACTGAGCGGACCCGCACATTTTTTTCAAACGCTCCCTTTTTTGGTCCATCTGCGGCGGTAATAGGTTTTGTGCGCTGTGATGATTCGGCTGTACCTTTAGTAATGAATATTAAATGTTGTGAGGAAATCTTTCCACCAATAATTCCAATAAGTAATCCAAAATGTATTCACTTCAGGTTTACGAAAGTAACTGTAATCAGATTACTCGTTTTTTAAATGTAACGCGAGCTGAATACAGTTACTTGACTTTTGTATTCTGATTACGTAACGCCATTATATGTATTCCGTTACAACCCAACCCTGCCGACAGCCTACCGGAAGGTGTCGGCACGGCCGAAAAGACACGACGGTGCAGTACACACCAATCTGAGTAGGGCGACACGACGCTCATCGACGGCCTGACATCTATCGACGACTATCAACGCCTTAAGATGAGATGCAGTTGATAAGGTGGGCGGGTGTTACCTTGGTTTGCTATTGGATAATAGTTGCCCAACACAAAAAATATTATGACATCACAAAGTGGCCGAAATCTGATCAGCTCATTTTCAGACAGGTTTTTATATAAATGGGTCAGGACAAAAAGAGAGAGAATCTTTTTTCCACAACTTTCCATATCTCTTAACACAGAGGGAAAACATATTTATGAATGAAAGACATGAAGTGGATTTTGCATAATAGGGGACCTTTAACGATAATTTTGTATATCTTAGTCATGGTTTTATTTTAGCCATACACTTTAGCATTTACTATTTAATATTTTTCTTCATGCATAGCCTACTGAATGAGCATTGTTGCAGGTGGCCTGAGACTTTTATCAATAATGAATAATGGACTCACCTGTCCCCCCTGTCCCTCCCTGAGCCCACGACCCGACCCTGAACAGCAGCCGCCATCATCACATAGTCTCGGAGGTCTGAAGGGATGAAGATATAGTTTATCTCCTGCAGAAGAAGAAAATTAGCATGAACGTTTAAAGTTACTGCTAACATACAGTCAAATAAGTGATGAAAAAATAATCAAAATGGACAGAAAGTCATCCAAATAGTTTAAAGGGGGATGAAAAATTACCAAAAAGAGACACATAACTTATACAAGAGACAGACAAATACAACTACGAGACACAACATTTCTAAATACAAACAAAACAAGATGCAAAACATCTAATCAGTATCGCATAAGAACCAGAAAGTGATGCAAATCATCGAAAAGGTCATGCTTAAGAACCAAAAGGTCTTGCAAACAACCAAAAAGAGATACAATCAGTTTAATAAGTGATGCAAAATGACCAGAAAGAGACGCAATGGGATACAAATTATGCAAAACTACAAAAAACTATTGCAACACATCTAAAAGATGATGTTCAAGGACCAAAAAGGATGCAAAATCTACTAAGTGATGCAAAATGACAAATAAGTGATGCAAAATGTCTAAAAGAGATGCTAAATGACCAAAAACGAGACAAACAACTTGTAAAAATTGATCCAAAATGACAAACAACAAATGCAAAACATGAGTGAGCACAATAACAGTAGTCAGAGTTGAGTTCTCCCCACCGGACTCTGGGGGGTTCTGGTGAATCCGTCGGTGCGGTACCGGCCCAGCGAGTTCTTCATGGTGTTGGTGGTGAATCCGTAGAAAGAAATCTTTGTCCCCACGTCTTTTTCAAAACCTCTGATCACCGCTCCGTTCATCCTGAGGGGCAGGGAAACAGTTTTTATTAAAAAATGTATCAGCTAATCGCAGACATGAGAGAAACATGAGATGTTTCCTATTTGTTATTTTGTGTGTCTTTGAAATCTTTTTGTTTATCTTTGTGGTCGTTTTGCATCACTTTGTGTTCCTTTTGTGCCACTTTGTAGTTATTGCATATCTCTTTGAAGTCATTTTGTGTCTCTTTAATAGTTGTTCTGTATCACTTTTATAGTTGTTTTTGTGTCTCTTTAAAGTCATTTTGTTTGTCTTTGAAATCTTTTTGTTTATCTTTTTGGCCGTTTTGCATTTTTTGTGGCTCTTTCTAGTTAATATTTGTCTCTTTGAAGTCTTTTTGTCTCTCTTTTATAGTGATTTTGTGTTTATTAGGAGTCCTTTTGTGTCTATTTTGTGTCCCTTTGGATCTTTTTGTGTATCTTTGAAGTCATCTTGCTTATTTTTGTGGTCGTTTTGCATCTTGGTGTGTTCATTTAGTGTCTCTTTGTAGTCATTTTGTGTCATTTTGTTTGTCCCTGTAGTCATTTTGTGTCATTTCTTTGTCCCTGTAGTCATTTTGTGACTCTTTACAGTCATTTTGTGTCTCTTTTTAAACATTTAGTTTCTTTTTTGTCATTTTATAACTCTTGGAAGCCATTTTGTGACTTTCCTTTAAGAAATCTTAGCATTAGCCTAATAAGATAGAAAATTAATAATATCTATATTATATACCGTAACAACATACTATGAACTGTAATAAAGTGTAAAAGCAACGATTTCACTCTCACCTGAAGACAAAGTCATGGCTGTCGATGTTCCTGCCCTGTCGGGACCCTCGCAGAATTCCTCCATTTCCTACCACGGCGCAGCTAACACACCTGTCAGGTGAGCCTCGCTCGAAAAGACGAGAGCTGTTGAGGAGGGAGAGCGTGGAGCCCACAACTGCAGGAGAGGAGGAACAATTCAGATACCTTAACTGTGAAGTCCTGCTTATAAGACTTAGCTTAGACACTACAGGTGAATAGGGTACAAAATGTAACTAATAGATATCAAAATGAGACTTCTTCAGTTGATTATTTACTTTAAGGCAATTACTTTTTGTATTACAAGTTTTCTGAAGTGTCATGTATAAATATGCAAATCAGGTATACATTTATATACATTTCTGGTTAACTTAGACAAAAATCTACAAACACAGCTATATGTGTATCTAGCATTTGTTCCCATTAGTCGTAGCAAAATAAAGATACATTCTCAAAATGGTTTAACTTTAGACAAACAGAATTTACCGTCAACAGGAAGTCCCCTCCAGCCGTACGGAGGGTTTCGCTTCCTCAGATGTTCCCAGGCAGGTTTTAAACTCCGCGCCCACTGGAGAACTGACATGGAGAACCTGAACTTCTCTCGGAGAAGAACATCGTTCTTCACAGCTTTCCTCAGAGAACATGCTGCTTCTATCTGAAATACATTGCAAAGACACATTTAAATACAGTCAACTCACATTAAAACTGCAGAGAATATTACACTTTATAATGACTCATTGCATTATACATTCTAGAGCTTCAAAAATTAAACAATTAGTCAGACAAAAGATGAATCACCAAATATATTGATAATCGATTAATGGTTAAAGTCATTTTTCATGTATTCAAAAAATATAGTTTTAACCTGTTCCACTCTGAGCCTGTTTTTCAGGTCTCAGGCTCGAAAATGACATTCCCAGAACAAATGACCATATCTTCCCTTCTAAAAGGGTTACATTAATAATCTTTTCTCAAAGTAATGATAAACCTGTGAGTTGGATGTAGAAGTGTCAGAATCAATATAAATGTTTTTTATTTTAAAGAAAATTCAGATTTTACATAGTAAAAAACTGTAAATTATAGTGTCCGTCCAAAAATTATTTTTTACAGATAGTGAAAACTACCCTTGGATGATGGGTTAGTAGACTAAATGCTTTAGGAATCCAAAGTACAACATATAATAAGTACCCTGTATCAAGATTGATGCAAAACAAGTGAAATTTGACCTTTTTAGAGAGATTTAGCCAAAAACTGGGCCATCTGGGGTCATTTGGGTGGATTTGACCTATCTCTGGCCCCCCTTGCTCGATCTGGTTGGTTGACATACCCTTGTGACCGTTAGAGCCAATAGAATCGAAGGAGGAGGCTCCCACCCAGACAGGTTGTAAAGAAAAAATGTTGCCGCTTCGCGTGTGGAAAGCGAAACTAAACTGGAGGAATGTCTCCTTCTGGAGTTTGGAAACTAAAACGCAGTTGTATTGCTTATGGATTATCAGAAATAATTTCAAAGAAGGCACAGACACATAGGATGAACCTATGGATTAACTGCAGCATCGTTTTTTTATCGTTTTAATGCCATTGAAGACCACTTTTGACCAAGGTGAGCCATATTTACATGTTTAGCTTCTTGGCTCCACATGTGATGATGTACGCTTTCGTTGATAGCGTCGCGAATGTTTATCACTGAGTGTTGAGGTGGGCACCGTTAGATTCAGTGTCTCCAGGACACCAAAAAATAGTGTTTGGTTGTGCATCTAGGATAAGTAATAAGGGAGTTCTGAGTGAGTTTATGTGTCTTTGTCGGTCCCGTTTTTTCGATCGAGGCTAATTCAGAGGCTGAGTGCTAGCATTGTGGGTTTTTTTTGAAAAAAAAAATTAAAAAGATCAGTTAGCTGAGTTTCTTCCCGTTACATGGATATAACACATTCATAGTTTTATTCAATATTAAGATTCCTTAGACGTTGTTTCCTGCAAATGACGCGTTTATCCGCCCGGTACCGGGGGGAAGGCGTGAAACAGGTTAAACTTCTAAAATATGGAGATTTCACTCTTTGCTGTATTACAAAGTCAATATTGTTTGTCTTTGGAATGACAAAACAACAAATGTAAAGACATCATCTTGGACTTCGAGAAACTTGAATAAACATTTTAAATTTGTTTTCTGATTTATTTATAACACAAATCATTCATTCATAAAAAACACAACAAAACTTTGTACAATGTTCTGAGCATTTAACAAATGACAGCTTCATCATTCTTTAAATATTCTCTTCTCACGTTAAGTCATTGTGGCATCCTGTGTTGTGCTTAAAGCCTAATATGTTTTTCTCTGCAATATACAAAATACTTGTGCTTCGTGTAGTTGATTGTATTGATAATATATTTGGTATTTGGGCACAATATATGAATACTGTTTGAGTACTTGAGTAAATGTAATTAGTTACTAATCTCTGCTGCAGCAGAGAAGATAACAATAACTCACTTGTTCTTCTACTTCTTGTTCTTGATCACTCGCTGACACAAGACTCCAGTCCACCTGATTGTCATCTAGAGACTCGATGCTTCAGACACACACACACGATCATAATAATAATATAAAAATTGTTATTTTATGTCCCAAAGAAAGCAATACATTTGAAAAATATTTTCTTTTTTGCAGATTGTAAAAAATAAAATAAGAAATGTTTTGTGCCTTTCAATCATTTTCAATATTTCAAGCAAGGTTTTATTTGTATTATTAAGTAATCATCTTCTTATAAAAGGCTTTTGACTAACATTATTGTAATAATGTAAAATTGTTTTATTTTACTTTTTCTACTTATTATTTATTTTCCTTTGCTAAATGTTGTTATACTTTTAAAATAGTTGTACAGTGCAATTGTATGCCATAATGCAATGGTAGCTTTTTATTGTACATAAGTGCTATAAATAATGGTTATAATCATTTCTAGCAGGTATTGCTGCTACAGGATGTGAATGCTTTACCTTAATAAACTCTTACCTGTCACTGTGTTGTTGAGAATATAAAAAGGTACAAATAATAAAACATAAAGTCCCTGAAAGGAAGAATATATACTTCATGGAGCCTCTCATTCTTCTACTTCCTTTTTGTTCTTGTTCTTCTTCGTCATGGTGTTGCAGTCAGGTGCATTCAAGTGAGGCTGAAGTCCATTTTTAATGACAAGGGGATCTGTCTGTAAAATGCAAGCTTCACCTCAGCAAGTAAAAACAGTTTTTCTTCACTTCCTGGATCAGCTCACCAGTGTGACGTCACATTGGGGGCGGGGCTAAGACGTCTTAGAGGTCAGTCCCTTTTTAATTAAAGAGATATATTGTCTTGTACAAAAGTGAATTCCATTATTGTAAAAATGTAAGGATACATCTTTTAAAAGTTGTCACATTACAAAGAAAAAAAGGACAATGTCATAATTCCCAAAACATTCTTTAGTAAAATTTGAAAATAAAAGTCCATTGTTTTTTTTTGTGAGAGTCTCAGATTGTGCAGTATCGTGAATTAAATCCTATTTTTAAGATATTTATTATAATTTAATATACAATTTAAAATTAAAATGAGTGTTTCTAGATATAACCAGAAGTTGAATATGAACTCAGATCATATAATTAAAAAAAAATCATAATCTGCAATCCATATGTCCTATTTTTCACAAAAAAAACACACTAATAATTTCATAATTATCTAAACACACAACAGCCAATATAAAAGCTATCCGAAAACATGTGATCCAAATAAAGACCGTTAGAAAACACCACATTACACACAAAAAAGATAAATAAATACAATGCTAGGTATTTTATAAACAGCAAATCTACAGCAACTTTAAAGATAATGTTATTGAGATAGCAAAGTTCTAATATTTTATCATTATTGTCTTGAGGATTCGCTGGAGGCCAAGTTAATGCCATCCAGAGTGAGCATATGTTTAGATATTTGTTTTGTAGATTCTATGGGCCGAGTACAATAACTTCAGTTTTGTCTGTGTTTAACCCCAAAACCTTTAAGGTCATCCAAGTTGTTAAGTCCTTGAGGCAATTTTTTATTTTATTTATATTTTATTTAGGTTTAATCAGGCTTGATAGATAAATATATTTGATTATCATCCGCATAACAATGAACATTTATAGATTGATTCCTTATAATATTGCCCAACGGAAGTATACTGTATATAATGTGAAGAAAATAGGCCCAAGCACTGAGCCCTGTGGCACTCCATGGCTAACTTCAGTTTGCATGGAAGATTCATAGTTGAATCTACTGACAAACTGAGACCGTTCAGATAGATAGGACCTAAACCAGCTTAAAACGGTTCCCTTTATGCCAACTACATTTTATTGTCTTTGCAATAGGATGTCATGGTCGATAGTATCAAATGCAGCACCAAGATCAAGCAAGACAAGAGTAGAGAAAAGTCCTTTGTCTGAAGCTATTAGAAGGTCATTTTTGGAATATTAAAAGTCCTGGAGAAATTTACAGAGAAAAACTGTCAAAGAAAATAAAATTATGTATTGTACGTATCTAAAATAATCTTAATTTCACCTCATTCTGGAGTTAGTATGACTCCTTTTCCCTTAATCTTATGATTACATTCTTAAAATATCTAAACTTTTTTCTCCAAATGTTTTGCCCAAATTATCGATAATATTTTCCTATTTTAGGTGGAATAATGTTAAAATCACGTTGATGTTTGCTCTGTCTGCAAAGGTAAAGTAGTTCATGAATTAAAAGCAGAAGTAATGTTATTCAAGTGTCGTTTGACAGATTAGCCCTGATTGTTAGACATGAAGAAGACGAGAGAAAATTCATACATCTATAGAAAACACCTGAGCTTTTGTATTCGTCTTTGGTGATATTAAAGTTTTAAACCTGCAGCATTGATCCATAAAACCAGACACATGCACACACACACACGTGTACACACACACAAACACACAGGCCCTTTCTCATTTCACTAATTCCCCTCCTCGACTCTTATCCTCGTGTCTTACGGCCCCTACACACGGCGGCGTGCGTTGACGCTTCAACGCTTCTGCCCATTCACTTTGAATGGGGTGACGTCACGATTCGCCAAACTGCATTGTGGGAGCAAAGCGTAGCTTTTCTCGCGGTGCTCGCTGCAAAAGTAGAGCAATGTTCTACTTTTGAAGCTGAGGCGGAGGCGTGAGCCAATCAAATCCCGCGTATGCAAATCTGCCAGTACAAGCGCTAGCCAATCAAACCGCGTGTATGCTGGGAGAGCCAGACCGCAGTTCATTTCCTCATATGCCAAAAAATGGAGGAGAAAATAATCGTAGCGGTAGGGAATCACCCGGTGCTTTCAGTCCCTGTTCACCTACCGGGATACAAACCTGAGGAGCCAGGCATGGAGGGAGGTGGCAGAGACAGTGGGTGAAACTGGTAGGTTTTCGCCTGTTTGGGGAGTTTATATCCAGTGTACTTCGTTTGAATGGACAGCTAGCAGGCATAGACAGTATTTAGCCAGCATGGAATGTTGCGTAAAATAGCACCATAGACATTAATGTCATAAATGTTCATCATATAAAGTGTGACATGTAAAACCTTTTATGCAATTGACAGCAGAGATTCATGTGATTGGTTGTTGGTCGCGTTGCTCGCGTAAACTCCCCAAGCTCAAGACACGCCCACCGCCAAGCGGCAACGCACGCCGCCGTGTGTAGGCGGCGTTAGTCCCGCCCACAGGAGATGCGAGCGGAGGAGCCGAGGAGGGGAACCGAGGAGAGAGGAGGGGAAGCAGCAGGCGGTTAGAGAAATGAGAACTCCTCTCCTCTGAGCGGTCATTTTAAAGAGACGTCCATTAATGATGACAGGAGGCACAGCAGCGCTCTGTCTGATGGACAGATGTGTTCATGACGACTTATATATTTACTTTGAATTCATTCACAGTGCGGTATAATGAGACAATAACAGGCTACAGATGCAGACAGACAGACAGACAGACAGACAGACAGACAGACAGACAGACAGACAGACAGACAGACAGACAGACAGACAGACAGACAGACACACACACACACACACACACACACACACACACACACACACACACACACACACACAGCTCCTAAAGCATATATATATCAGGATACAGCCGTTGTGTATTTTATTATGTGAAGCACTAAATGGTTTTAGACAAATATCGACTCTTTGTTTGTAGATATCTACTAAACTAAAGCAAATAAAGAGAGTAGGCCTGTTATACTGAGTGATATATATTATACACACTGCTCTGCTTTCTGCACGGACCTCACAGCTGTTCTCACTGGAAACATCGCGTCTGATGAAAGCAGTTAATAAAATAATATCCAGGGGATGCATGCAGAGCTGTCATTGGCTGAGTATATAGACTCATACTGCACTATTCCACATCATAACTTTATTTCATTTTATTTCATTTTTATAACTATTATTATTTTTGTATTGCTCATGCTCTTATTGTTATTATGTTATGTTATTATGTTGCATTGTTGGAGAAGCCTGTGACATAAGATTTTCAACTGCATAATTACTCTGTAGCTATGTCAGATTGACAATAAAGAACCTTGAACCTTGAACCTTGAAGTCCGGCCATGCGTCACGACTTTTAAACATCACTCTTGCCGGAAATGTATTCACGGAGGAGCCGTGGAGGACTGTGGAGGACTCATCAGTGTATCCTCGGTTATAGCTCCTCCAGAGAGCCTCCTCGACGCTCGATCCTCGGTGCTCGAAGTGCATTTAGAGAAATGAGATGTCCTTCAACATGGCGCTCTGAAATTCATTTCCGGGTCACTACTGGAGGACCGAGGATTCGAGGAGTCGAGGAGGGGAAATTAGTGAAATGAGAAAGGGCCACAGACGTGCGGACACACACACGCACAAACACACACACACCCAGCGAGTCATGTGTAAAGCAACACACTCTCACTCCATAAACGTCCAGGAGCGACGCTTGGTCAGGGTCCCGAGGCGTGCAGTTGGGACGCTCCGAGGCTCCTTCAGCTTCATAAAGGGACGCAAATAGCTTTCAACTGATTGCAATGTATTCCCATCTGCGGCGGGATTCGACGCTCAGGGAAGGCATTTAAAGGCAATGTGAGCGTCCATTCCCATTGGATAATGGAGAATTGTACACCCGGAAGTAACTATTCTCCTTACTGTCGATTGATTTTACAGTGATATCTGCACTACTATCAACTAAAAAACACCATATTATCCTTGTTAATTACATGTGCAATGCTTTTGTATTTTTCCCCTTCGATTCGGAGAAACAAATATGTTTTCGGAGTTTAGGATGGCAGAAGACATTCCCCAACCAGAATCCCCAGCTATCGTTTAGGACTACACCATGTGCTCTGTTTGACAAACCCCGTGATTAGTTCTCAAGCTCTGTGATTGGTTGACCTCCAACTGCATTCCATATGAAAAAAAATGTTTCGTAAAAGATAAAATCATACTTTATTCAGCAGTGCTTGTGTTATGCCCCTAATATGGGGAAAATATCAGACAAGGAAACAGAGACGTTGTTGGTTTGCTTCAAGTCTAATGTATTATGCACCAGTGGCAAACAACAAGCGCCCTCTGCTGGACAGACCCGGAAGGTCATCAACCATGACTTGTCATATCTATTACACACTCCCCTTCAAAACAGATGTCGTCCCGACATTATAATCCACAATATTAGGCCTACATGTCAGCAACATCTATAAACATTTATTAAACACATACCACGCTCACTGCTCAGTTTGGCAAAAGTGTACACACTCAATTTACACATTTAAGCCCTTGGCTTAGTAGAAAGTCCAACATTGTATGACAAACATATGTTCATAAGCTCTCCGTTTTTTTTTTCACAGTCCATGAAAGTATGTTGTGTGTGTGAGCACTCTACTTCTTCAAAAGTTCATCATTGTGTGTGGTGTATATGGTTGTGTCTACCAAGCTTTCCTTCCTCAGTCCATAGGTGTCTGAAGTGTATATGTGTGTATGTGATCACTCAGCCTCTTCAAAAGTCCATGAGTATGTCTGGTGTGTGTGTGTGTCTGTGTGTAGGCATATCTTTCAGTACCCAGGAACAACAGGCTGGTAGTTAAACTGCGTCATCCATGTACCTATGGCTGGCACTGTAGCATAGGGCAGTGGCGGGTACCAGTATACGATGTTAGCACTGCAACAAACTGGATTACCTAGCTGATCGTATGTGAAGAATGTGGTAGGTCGTCTGTCT